GGAGTCCAACATGAACGATCTCGTGTCGGAGTACCAGCAGTACCAGGACGCCACCGTCGAGGAGGAGGGCGAGTTCGACGAGGAGGAGCAGTACTAGACGGGGTCTGCGCCGCGGCTGCGAGGGAGGACGGCAGACGGCGATGGGGTCGGGGAAGTGTGAGAGGGCCGCAGCATCGACGACGCCCAGCCCCCTTTGTCTCTCTCTCTCTGCATCTCCCGTGCGTACCTTCCTTCTTCTTCTTTGGGGTCGCTTTGCTTCCCCTCTATTTCTTTTTTTGGGGTGAGGGTTTTTTTTTTGTCCGGCCCCCCGTTGACTCGAGGGAGAGGCGTGTGCCCGTAGAGGTTGGTAGTAGCGACTTTGTGGCCGGGGCGTGTACACACGGTTTTTGTAATGGTTTTTTTTGGCGGTGTTTACATGGTTTGTGCCTTTGTTTGGTGTCTTTGGGTGGAGTTGTCGGTGTGAATGGCGTTTGTGTTGTTTGCGCTCTTTTTTATTGCTATTATTATTTTTTTTGTTGTTTTTTTTTGTCGCTTTTTTTTTGTTCTTGCGGTGTCTGCAGAGTCGTGGGTCTTTTTAGCGCAAATGAGCGTGGGCTCCCACCAGGAGGCGGCGTGCACGCTGCTGGTGGGCTGCGATGGCGGCGGCGTGAATTCGAAGGAGCTGAAGGCGGCGCTGGAAAAGGGGGACATGGCGGCCCGCGCGGAGGCGCTGGAGGCGATGATTAGGCTCCACCTGAACGGCGAGCCGCAGAACCACATGATCATGTCCGTCATAAAGTACATCACGCCGCTGGAGGACCACCTGGTCAAGAAGCTGGTGCTTTACTTCTGGGAGGTCGTGGAGAAGACGGACAAGACTGGGCGGCTGCTGAGCGAGATGATTCTGATCTGCTCCTTCCTCCGCGAGGATCTGCTGCACCCGAACGAGTACGTGCGGGGTCTCACCCTGCGGTTTCTCTGCAAGGTGAAGGAGAAGGAGCTGATTGAGCCGCTCATCTCGTCGGTGGTGCAGAACCTGACGCACCGCGTGACGTATGTGCGCCGCAGCGCCGTCCTGGCGGTGCACGCCATCTGCAAGCGGTTTCCGGACCTCCTCCCCGACGCGCCGGAGTTGGTTGAGAAATTCATTGGTGACGAGAATGACGTCTCGGCGCGGCGAAACGCGTTTGACATGCTGGTCGAGTGCGCCCCCGAGCGGGCTGTGCGGTTCCTAACGGCCTTTCGTGAGTCGGCAAACATGGCGGATGCGGGTGCGGCGTTTCAGATGTCGGTGGTGGACTTTGCGCGGAAGATGATACGCGCGAATCCCTACGACAAGGCGAAATATGTGGCCGTCCTCTTCAGCGTGTTGCAGTCGAAGGATCCGGCGGTGCGCTACCAGTGCGCCGCCACGCTGCTGAGCCTTTCTTCCTCCCCTACCGCGATTCGGCAGGCCGCCTTGACGTTCATTGACCTGCTGAAGACGCACTCGGACAACAGTGTGCGGCTTATCGTGGTGGATCAGCTGGACGGCATGCGGGCGAGATTTGGCGAGATTCTGCAGGACTCCCTCATGGACGTGATGAGTGTGCTGGCAAACAGCACCACTGAGATCTCCAAGAAGGTGGTGGCGCTGGCGGTGGAGCTTGTCTCCAGCAAGAACGTTGAGGTCTTTCTGCAGGCCATAAAAAAGGAGCTGCTGAGGTCGCAGAGCGAGGGAGACGTCTTGGATCAGTCCTCGATGCAGGAGTATAAACAGCTGCTGCTTCGCGCCATTCGCACTTCCGTCCTTCGCCAGCCACACATGGCCGCCGCCGTGCTGCCCATGATGATGGATTACATATGTGACCCCTCCAATGGCAGCTGCGAGGTCATTTTGTTCATACGGGAGGTTCTGCAGGTGCAGCCCGCGCTGCGGGCCGGGGCCCTGAAGCAGCTGCTTGAGGTCTTCCCCCTCATCACCTCCCCGCGGGTGCTGCGGACGGTTCTCTGGCTCTTTGGCGCACACGTCTCCTCGGCGGCGGAGGTGCTGGCGGTGCTCACGCTGCTGGTCACAGCGCTGAAGCCGCTGCCTCTCACCCCTCCGCCTCAACCGGCCGCCGCCGCCGCCGCCGCCGCCAACGGAGACGCGGCCGCGGCCGCGGCACGATCCCCCGTCATGCGGGCCGTGACGACGGTGAGGGAGGACGGCACATACGTCACGTCCTACACAGCCGTCCCGGCAGGCGTGATCGCGGCGGATGCGGCTGAGGACGCCGGCGAGGCGCCCACCGGCCTACGCGGCCTCATCACGAAGGGAGATTACTTTGTTGCCTCCGCGCTTGCCAGCACCCTGGCCAAGCTCGTTATTCGCATGTTCACGGACCACGGCAGCACCGTGGACGTGGCGGTGAAGGGCAAGGCGCAGGACGATGCGCTGCTGCTGCTGCACGAGGTGATCCGCTACGGCACCGCCCCCGACGCGGCGTACGCGGTGGACGAGGATTCCCACGAGCATATTCGTTTGTGCATCATTGCCATTGCGAACCCGCAGTCGCCGTTTCTGCAGTCTTTTGTGGAGGACTCCAACAGGGCGCTGAACGCGGTGGAGAGCAGCGTAGTCGGCACCGTCGTCGGGGAGGCGCTTCCCGGCGACGCAGCCAGGGCGAAGGGGTTGACGGCGCTCTGCAGCATCGACACCCCAGTCATCTTTACGCAGTTGGCTCAAGGGAAGGACGCCTTTCTGGAGCTGGAGGCCACGGATGACTTGGGTTCCGCCGTCGCGAACGCCTCCATTGAAAAGACGGAGGAGTTCCTCAAGCGCCTGGAGAAGACCCTGCCCCTATCCGGCTTCTGCGACCCGGTGTACTGCGAGGCAAGTGTGACGGTGCACCAGTTCGACGTCTCTGTCGACTGGTACCTTGTGAACCGCACTCCGCATCTGCTGCGGGACCTAACCATTGAACTGGCCTCGCTGGGCGGCATGAAGTTGTGCGAGCGGCCGCAGGTGCACACGCTGGCCCCCCACGCCTCCCTCAAGCTCCGCACGGCGCTCAAGGTGAACTCCACGGAGACGGGCGTCATCTACGCCAGTGTCCTCTACGACGCCCCCAACGGCGAACGCGCCTGCGTCACGCTGAACGACGTCCACGTGGACATCATGGACTACATTAAACCCGCCTCGTGCCTGGCGACGGACTTCCGCGAGAAGTGGAGCACGTTTGACTGGGAGAACACCATCGTCGTGAACACGGCGAGGACGGAGCTTCGCGACTACGTGGAGTTTGTGATGAAGGAGACAAACATGCAGCTGCTGGAGCCGTACCAGGAAGTGGAAGAGGAGGAACTGCAGGGTCTCTCGCCTGCGGACGAGAATGACGGCTACGGCTACGTCTCGTGTAGTCTCTACGCCCGCACCGTCTTTGGCGAGGACGCGCTGGCGAACGTGTCGATCGAGCGGGACGCGCAGGGCAAGATCAGTGGTGTGGTGCGCATTCGCTCCAACACGCAGTCCATTGCGTACGGCATAGGGGAGAAGCTCAGCCTACTCGAGAAGGGAATAAGTAAGTAGTGGGCCCACGGCCGTTCTGCCCGCGCCATTGCCTGTCTCCGCCTCCCCCAACCGCCGCCGCCACGCACGTTCACGCGTGTGTGTCCGCGCGCCTTCTCCGGGCCGGGGGATGAGGGGTGAGGAAACGAAACAGCGGAGGACGGCAGTGACGCGACGAGGGAGGGATAAAGCGATAGAGAGAGTAGGGGGGAAGGAAAAAAAATATGAAGAGAGAGAGCGAACGAGAGAACGAGAGAGAGAGAGAGAGAGGAGGACAAGCGAG